GGCATGATGCTAATTTAAATTTAAATAGCCAATCAGCCAGAGGTAGCTGGTGGCTCCATATTGGAGGTTGCACCTTCGAGGGATCTGGCTCTTCCTGGGCAAAGTCTTGTCACCCCCGACCTCCAGCAGCAAGGTACCTCGGGCAAGTCTGCTGAAGACACCATCTCACTGGGTGGAGGCCTCAACCTCCTTCACACAGCATCTCTGTGCACACTGGGGCCAGAATGTAATTGGGGATATGGTCTGGAAGCTGGACCTTATGAATGTGCAGCTAAGGAGCCACCACCATCCCCACCACTCACACAGTCCTGTGGAGTCCCCACCCCTTGCTTATTGGTGTCTTTTCTCTGGCACTGTTGTCCAGCAGAGTGGATAGTCTGCTCCCCAGCCTTCATGACTCTCTGCCTGGCACAGAGAAAGGCTCGACCATAGACATGTACACGCTGTGTGTGATGGGAACCTCACTTCTGTCTCCTCCTTTTGCAGTGCGCTACTTCCTGAAGAATAAGGTCAGCCCTGACTTGTGCAACGAGGATGGACTCACAGCCCTGCACCAGGTAAGCTGGGATTGCTGGGGTTACCCAGCTCCCTGCCTGGATGGGGAGCCCCACTTGCATACACTGTCCTGCCCCAAATCCTCACTGAAGAGGGAGACGGGGAGGGAGAGCATGGGTGGCCCATTTGAAAAGCTCTTGTCTGCTTTGGAGACACGCGTATCTGTCACAAACATGCACACAGAGCCCTTGTTTGCACATCCACACCCGTGCTCCTGGGACAGGCTCTGAGAACAGGAGCCTTTGTCCTCAATAGCCTTATGCCAGCAAAGCAAGTTTGTTTGGAGCTTGACAGTTGACAGAGCACATTCACTCATCAGGACATCCTGACCCTCGTGACAGAGCTGATTGACAGGGTTATGTTGCTTAAGAGGGCCAAGAACTGTGGCCATGAGCCATGTGCCATCATAACACACATCCCTTCCAAGTCAGTACAATGGGTTTTGCCCTCCCTGCCTGAGGACAGGCTGTGCTGGCTGTCACTCCTCCTCCACAGCCTCCTAACTAGTCCCTAGCATCCAATCTGGTCCTGCCAGAATTCTTTCTCCATGCAGCCGAACACCCCTATATTCAAGCCAAAAGTCTACTCCAGTTTACTCAGAGCTCTCTGATGTCTCCTTATAACACTGAGTACAGAATAAAGTCTTTGCCACACTGCACAAGATCCCATGAAGCCCAGTCCCTTCCCAGTGCTGCTTCCTGGCTCCCCAGGCTCCAGCCTACACCCTGGGTTGTCCCCACCAGGCTTCCTCTAGCACTCTGTGTGCTCACCTGTTAGCGCCTGTCCAGAGCAGGAGCCTGACAGCTGTGCTGGGAGAGAAGTATCCTTTCCTTTCTGATGACCCTCTCCTCTCTAATTATAGTCATTTCAGCCATTAGTGTGACCCTTTGATGTTGGCCTGCTGTCCCCCACCCAGGCTCTGAGCCAGATGAAGACATAGCCCACTGTGAGCCTTTTGCTCATTGGTGTGTTCCAGCATTTTTCTTCATGCTTGCATACAGTAGGTGTTCAACATGTGCATGCTGAATTAATGACTCAACACAGTGGAGCTTTCCTGTGTCTTGGCCCAGGTTTCTGAGCAGGTTGATTTGAATGCAGCCTGGCAGTGGGGGAGACCAGGCAGCTGGAACCCTGGGCAGGGGAGGAATGGACAGGAATGGCCATGCTGTACCCATAAACCCCAGGGGCAAGACCCTACCCTCAGCCCTGAAGCCCAGGCTCCCTGTGTGTCCTCTCTGCTTCTCCTCATCCCCCAGGGCTGCCTTAGTCCCCTTGCTAGATGATGCTGTGGAAACTCCCAGACTCCAGTTCCTTTGACTCTTGGCCACCTGGGGCTGCATGGGAAGGGGAACTTTATTTGGCCTTGGAAGAAAGACTCATATGGTAACTCCCAAAGCCAGGCAGTGCCCAACAGTCAGGGACTTGATGACAAAACATACGGCTGATTCCTGCTGTGTGCAGAAAGTGAGGCCATGGGGTAGGGTCAGACTTGAAGCCTGGGGCTGCCACTCACCACATTCAACCTTGAGAAGTTACTTGAGCTCCCTGTGCCTCAGTTTCCTATTGCCTTGGGTTGTTGTGAGGACTAGATGGATACACATAAAAACCCCACAAGCAACACATGATGCTAGATTAACATTAGTTACTAAAGTTTATCATGTGACTACTTGTCTGTGAACCACTTCATTGGTGTGTTTCTTTTTGAACCTCACAACAACCTTCTGAAAGATTATTTTCCCCCTTTCACAGCTCGGGAAACTGAGACTCATGGACAGCAGTCCTGTTATAGTGCTTTCTACAAGAATAGGAATATTCTGTTTGTTGGGACTGACCAGTGTGGTAGCCACCAGCCATATGAGGCCTTCGAGCACCTAAAATGTGGCAGGAACTGAATTCTGATTCTTATTTAATTTTAGTGAATTTAAATACACAGTGACTGCCATATTTGTGCAACTAAGAAAGGTGAAATCTCTGGGTTCAAGGTCAGACTGTGAATCATGGCAGAGGTAGGGTGAAAACAGGTGGTCTTGACTCTCTGGACTCAGCAGCTGTCAGAGCCCCAGGTCTGCCTTCAAGTTGCCACCCCTGCCTTGGTGATCACTCTTGTGGCACCCCCACTTTGGCTTGGATTTCTTGCCGCCTCCTCATCACACCTCTACTTCTGACTTGTTGGTCACATGACTTCCCCAGGACTGTTTCCTTCTGTGGGTTCCTGGGCCTCTAGGGGTGCAGGGTCAGGGACGTGAGAACTGGTCAGGTTCTGAGTCTAGGTGCATGGAACTCATGCCGGCCAGGTGGCACTCAATCCCAGATCCCACTCCATCGGGCCCCATTTTGTGATCCCTCTAAGGAGGCACTACCCCACTGACCCAAAGTTTCCCATTCATTCATCCATCAAATTTCTACTGTGCATCCACTCTGAGCCAGGAACTTTACTGAGAACGGGGCCGCAGAAGTGAGGTAGGCCACTTCTCTGCTCAGAGTTTGTGGTGTGATGTGACCACAGGCACATAAACAACAACGGTGGTAATGCAGTGCTGTCAGTTGTCACATGGAGGAGAGCAAGAGGGCTCTGTGGCAGCTTGAAGCTGGGAGCTGAAGATCTGTCTCAAAAGGAGAACTGAGAAAAGCTCTCAAGAGGAAGGACATCCGAGCAGGGTCTTGAAGGATGAGTAAGAGCTGGCCAGAGGAAAGAAAGAACAGTCAAAGCCTAGGGAACAGTGGGTACAGAGGCATGAGAAAGGAACTCAGCCTTTCAACTTTGGAGTCTGAGGGGTTGGTGGTGGCATAATTAGAATGCAGGAATCCTTAGGGAGATGGCAGGAGACTGAGAAGGTTGAGAACAGACCTTTGCAGTCAGACTGCTTGGATTTTAGTTTAGCTTTGTAGTTGGATTTGTTTGTTTTTGCAGTACTGAGGTTTGAACTCAGGGCTTCGTGCACTTGCTAGATAAGGCACTCTACCACTTGAGCCATACTTCCAGCCCTTTTTGCTCTGCTTATTTTGGAGATAGGGTCTCACTTTTTATCCTGGCTGGCCTGGACCAAGATCCTCTCATGCTTCCTGTGTTACTGGGATGACAGGCACACACCACTGTGCCCAGCTTTTCTCGATGGATTTTAATCTTAAATTTAATTGTTTCTCCCTATGGGTAGCCTTGTGCTCCCAGGCTTCTTTGAGCCAGTGGGGATGAGAGGATCCTCCTAGGGTTGTTTTAAGGACTAAATTGTTGCAAGGAATGGCCAAAGCTTAGGAAGGTGCCTGGCTGTAGCAAGTCTTCAAAAGCATTGCCTGTTACTGTTGATAATGTGACATGACGCGTGGTGATTACTGTTGTTGCCAGAACTGTTATTACGGTCCTTGTTAGTGTCACTTCTGCTCTGGAACAACAGAGACCAGGGCACGTGGGCAGCTTCCCAGGCCTGGCAGAGGAGTGTGGGTTTGCTTCTCTTGGCAACAGGGAGCCTTCTGAGGTTTGCAAACTGAGAGCGACATGATGAGGTTAACGAGAAGCTCCCTCTGGTTAAGGGTGTTTGGAGGGGAGCAGGAGGCAGGCAGGGAGAGATGATGAAGCCTCACCAGGGGACAGTGATTCAAGAGACAGAATCCTCAGCTGACCGTAGATGGAATGTGGGAAGCAAGGAGGAGGGAGGAGTCAGCCTACTGCTGCCCTTCTCCATGTGTTCCCCTGCACCCCCCCTTGTCAGGCTCCCAGGTGTAGACCAGTCTAGTTCTGGGCGTGTAATCCCCTTAATCCCTCAACCTGAGACTTCTTCCCTCTGCCCCTGGCTCATGTGTTCTGCAGTTTCTCAGGGTTGGATCTCTGCTTTTGTCCCCTGATTCTGTAGGCTTCCCAGACATCTCCCAAGTGACAGCCCCAGGACCCTCCTATCAACCTCGCTCTGGTGCATTTGGTGCCCTCTGCTGGCCATACATTGCTACTACATGTTGCACCTGGTCGCCGGAGGCAGCACTTGTGGCTTAGGGTCATATCTGTCCCTCTCAGTCCAGAGATACCCTGAGACCAAACTACCCCCAGACTGGCTGGCTCAGAAAACCTGGGTCTCTGGCACCATATGTGCAAACAACTCCTCCTTTCCCACGTGTCCTTCTGGCTCTGAGTCCTGGTTCCCTGGGGTGGGGGCTGTGATGTGGCCCATTGCACATCCATCTAGGGCCAGGGGTTCACACGGGTGCCCTGCCCCTTCTGCTGGACTCGTCTCTTCTCTACATCCTGACAGTCACTTCTGTCGGCGAGGCCACCATCATCCCTTAACTGGGTGACTTCAAGATTGCTTCTCACTGTCCCTTCCCAGTGTGGGTGTGAGCATGTACACACGCGCGCACACACACACAATCTGTTCTCCACATGGAAGAAAAGTGATTTTCTAAAAAACAACTCTGCACTATTTTTCTGTGTCTGGTGTTGAATTGAGGACTGGGATGGGCAGAGCTGAGCTCAGGGCCCCTCCCCTGCTGTGTCCCCTACAGGCTTCACCAGAAGTCACCTGTAAGGGAAGACCCTTCATCCTGCAATCTGCAGAGTGGCCCCTGACATCCTCTTCTGTCCTCACCTCCCCGATGGTCCTGACTAAGGCCCATCTGTCAGAGTTTTTCCATTGTCCCGAGTGTTTGGGGTGCACCTGTGTTCTCTCTGGGGAGCTGTAGGCTCCTAACCCTTCCTCCCGTCATTGGAGCATGTGTGGTCCCAGCTTCACACACATAGGAGCTCAAACATACCATCTCTGTGCAGGAGCTGTATCGGGGGCCCCCAGAACCTACACATGGAGCTAGGTTCTTGGGCAGAAGGGATTTTGGATATTTCGGGGCTTTTCCAAGATCTGCATTTCTGAACTAGAAGTTCCTAAGTCAGAGATTTCAAACCAAGGGCCATACTTTGGAAGTCACTACTCCAAAAGAGGGTGGAAGGGGAACTTCTCCCAATACAGCCCCAACTGAGCAGTCCTGTTTTAATTCATTGGTTATCTAAGCTAGAATTTCCCATAGAGTGGTGTTTGGACAAAGCTTTTTGGTTTTTAATAACCTCAATCAAGTTGTGTGCTGTTCTACTAATACTTGCAAAGCGCTTTATAACTGACTGAATCTTTTTTTAACCTGTATGTTTTTATCTTGTACCTTATTAACTTCATTTTTACTCACAAGGAAACTGAGACTCCAAGAGGTACAGTGGCTTGCCCAAAGTCACAGGCAACACTTACAGGCCCGACTCACTCTGGCTCTTTCCCTCCCAGTGCTGCATCGACAACTTCGAGGAAATCGTCAAGCTGCTCCTTTCCCATGGTGCCAATGTCAATGCCAAGGACAATGAGCTGTGGACGCCCCTGCATGCTGCAGCCACCTGCGGCCACATCAACCTGGTGAAGATCCTCGTCCAGTAGTACGTGCCCCTCAATCCCCCGGGACAGCCTTCCCTATGCTCTTGCTTTTCCCCAACATCATTTGTCCTCTTCCCCCCGCCTTCCTCCTTCCCTTCCCTGTTTCATCTCTCTCTCTCTTTCTTATTCTATTTTTTCTTTCTTTCTTTTAATCTCTTTCCACCTTTTCTCTCAGTGCTGGGGTTGGAACTCAGGCCTTGTGCTTGTTAAGCAGACGTTTTACCACTTGAGGCTGGTCCCAAGCCCTCCCCTATTTGTTCTCTGTCTCTCTGGGTATCTCTCTCTCTCTCTCTCCCCCTCTCCCTCCCTCCCCCTCTCCTCTCCCTCCCCCTCTCTCTCCCTCCCCTTCTCCCTCCCTCCCCCTCTCCCTCCCTTCCCTCCCCTTCCCTCCTCCTCCAAATTCTCTCTCTGTGTATATTTCTCCATCTTTTTTCTCTTCATCTCTGTCTCTCCTACATCGCGGTCTCTGTCTTTTCTATTCTTTGTCTCACTTCATTCTCTCCTCCTTCATTCCAATGTTTTTTAAACTATGGGAAAATACCAGTAACATAAAATTTGCCATCTTAGCGGTTTTTATATTCAGTGATATTAAGTATATTTGTGTTGTTGTGTAACCATCACTACCATCTGTCTCCAGAACTCTTTTTCATCTGGCAAAGCTGAATCTCTGTACCTATTAGACAATACGTCCTTGCATTTCCAGTCTACTCCCCAGCCCCTGGGAGCCATCATTCTACTTGCTGTACTCTAAGAACCTCACTGAAATGTTATCTTACACCATTTGTCTTTTTGTAACTGGCTGACTTCATCTGTGTTGTAACATATGTCTGAATTTTCTTCCCTTTCAAGGTTGAGTCATATTCCTGTGTGTGTGTATCTGTGTGTGTACATGTGCCACATTTTGCTTATTCATTTGTCTATTGATGCACATTTGTGGATTTTTCCCTTTTTTTTTTCTTTCTTTTTTTGGTGTGATTGGGGTTTAAACTCAGGGTTTCAGGCTTGTAAAGCAGGCACTATACAGCTTGAGACGTACCTCCGGTCCATTTTGCTTTGGTTATTTTGGAGAAGGGATCTTGTGAACTATTTGCCTGGGCTGGCCTTGAACTGTGATCCTCCAGATCTTAGCCTCACAAGTAGCTGGATTACAGGCATGAGCCCCAGGCACCTGGTGCATGTCCTAGCTATTGTGATTAGTCCTGTTGTGTCCGTGGGTGCACAAATACCTCTTTCTCATGTACCTGGAAGTAGAATCGCTAGGTCATATGATCATTCTATTCTTAGTCTTTTGAGGATCTGCCACATTGCTTTCCACAGTGGCTGTTGTGTTTTCCCTTCTCACCAATCGTACTCGATGGTTCCAGTTTCTTTGTTTGCAATTTTATTTCTAAATGATTACCCATTAACCATGAGAGGGGGTTTGCTTGTGACAATTCCATGCATGCACATTGTGTACATTGAACAAGTTCACCCCTCCATTGTATTTTCATTCCCTCTCTCCTTCTCCCCTCCCCTTTCAAACAGTGTGTGGTGGTTTCGTTATGCTGTCTGCTCATGTATACATGTGCTGAGGGGTTCTGATTCCTTCACCATCTCACCAACATTGGTTGTCTTTTTTTGTTTGTTGGTAGGCATCCTAATGGGTGTGGGGTGGTATGTCATTGTGGTTTTGATTTGCATTTCCCCAGTGATTAATAATAATCTTTTCATCAATCAGTTTATTTGACTATTTGTATATCTTTGAGGAAATGTCTCTTCAAGTCCTTTTCTTTTTTTCTTTCCTCTGAGACATGGTCTTTGTAGCCCAGGTTGGCCTTGAACTCGAGATCCTCCTGTCTTAGCCTCCCAAATGCTGGGATTAAGGCATGTACCACTATACTGGTTTAGGATAGGTTTTCTATTCTCCAGAAAACATCATTGAGGTTTCAATAAGAATTGCATTAAATCTGTAGACTCCTTTGTAGTATTGACATCTTAACAATATTAAATCTTCCAATCCATGAACATGGAATATCTTTCTATTTATTCCTGTCTTCCTTAATTTCTTTAAGAAATGCTTTCTAGTTTTCATTGTACAAGTTTTTCATCTCCTTGCTTAAAAAAATTGCTAAGTATTTTAGTCTTTTTGATGCTATTAATGGAATTGTTTTCTTAATTTCCTCTTTGGATTTTTCATTGTTATTTCTTTCTTTTCTTTTTGGTGAAGAACCAAACTCCTTTTCTTTTTTTTTTTTTTGGTGTAATGGAGTTTGAACTCAGGTCCTCACACTTGCTAGGCAGGCACTCTGTCACTTGAGCCATTGTATCAACCAGATTCTTTGTTGCTGAAGTATGGAAAAGCCACCTGATTTTTCTGTGTGTTGACTTTTTTTCTTGCCACTTTGCTGAATTCAATGATTAGTTCTGACAGGGGTTTTGTGAAGCTTTAGGGCTTTCTACATATAATATATCATAATGTGAACAGAAACAATTTTGTATCTTCTTTTCTAATTTGGTTGACTTTCTTTTTTCTTTTTTTTTTCCTGTTTGGTAACTCTGGCTCAAACCTGTAGCACTCTGGGAATAGAAATGGCAAAAGCAGGCATCTTTGCCTTGTTCCTGATCTTAGAGGAAAAGCTTTCAGTCTTTTACTGAAGGCTTTGGGTTTCTCACATATGATTTTTATTATTTTGAGCTTGTTTCCTTCTACTTCTAGTTTATTGAGTGTTTCTGTCATGAAATAATACTGAATTTTGTTAAATACTTTTTCTACACTAACTGAAATGATCACATGAATTTTTTAAGCCCCTTAATTCTGCTCATGTGGTATATTACACTGATCAATTTTTATATGCTAAATCACCCTTGCATTCCAAGGATGAATCCCACTGTTCATGGTGGGATGCTTTTCATAGGTGGGAGCTTCTAAGTGTGTTGCCAATTCAGGTTGTAGTATTTTGCTGAGGATTTCACATCATTATTTACTGGCAATATTGGTCTTAGTTTTCTTTTCGTGTAGTGTTTTTGTCTGGCTTTGGTATCAGAATATCAATCTTTTAAAATCTCTTTTTCTCTGTCTTTCTTCATGAGACCATCTTCATCTCCTCCACTTTCTTTACGTGGTGTTGCTACTTTTATTAGTCTTGGCATTTTTTTTTTAAATCATGTATACTTCCTTGTTTTTACCACCAAATCCCTACATGTGTTTTTCTTTAAGGCAGAACCTCCCTTCTGTGTGTGGGGGTTGAGAGGAAGACCATATAGTAATGTCTTTTCCAGGAATAAGGCCATTTCTTTCTGTAATACTGCGAAGGTCTCTTTCCATCCTGAAATTCTTTCTAGACTTCTTGGATCTATAAACACAACATTCACATTCAAGTGTATTCAGCTAATAGTTGGTAGGCATTTGAGCTGGACCAGGTCCTGTTTTTGCTCTGGACACACAGAGATGCAAAAGTCCTAGAGAGCCAAGCAGGAAATTAGAGTTGAGATAGAGCAAGATAAGTGGGCTGGGGTCCCAAGGAGCACCTAAGTGCAGAGAGTCAGGGGGAGTGGTGAAGAGAAGGTAAGAGCAGGTGGGACCCATTGCACAGGTCTTGGCAGAACAGTAGGAGCCCATCTTGTGGCTACCAGGGGTCCTGGCTCAGAGAACTGATTGGCTTGCTCAAGGGCTCCCAAGAGCTCAGAGAGGTCACAGTAGAAAGCTGTTATCCAGAGGACTGGATGGTGGCCCACACTACACCTCTGATGACAGCCTGAAAGTGGCTAAATCTACCAGGAACATCAGGTAGCCACAGCTCAAACTGTGGTGCCCAGAGGACAGAGGGCTTGGTGCAGGCCTGGGTCAGTGTCTCTCAGTGCTGATCTGTGCCAGAATCACCCAAGGCCCGGGATTTACAATCATACTCCTGGGCCCACCCCCAGGGACTCCTCTTCTGGAGGGCTGGAGTGAAGCCCAAGGAGCTGCATTTTATTTAGTGGTCCCCAGATATTTCTGCTACAGGCGACCCCCTAAACGTGCTTGGGCACCACTGCCCGAAAGGGTCAATTCTGCCAGGGAGCCCCAGGGCTCTGTTCTGCCCCCATTCTCTCCTGCCTTTTGGTAGAGACTTGGGAGAGGATGTGTAAAAGATTGACAAAGAAAGTGGAGTGGAAAGAGCTGACACATGAGAGACCTGGGTTCGAGTCTTGACCCTAACATTATCTAAGCTGTGTGACCTGGAACATGTGACTATACCCGAATCTTTGTTTCCTCTTGAGTGAGATGAGGCCAACAGCACCACCCCACGGGGATGGTGAGGATTAAATAAGAGCTCCGTGTGTAAAGGGTTTAGAGTAAACTTGACTCCAAGCAGGTGCCTGGTGAGTAATGCTTCTGCTGTTTGTATTATTTTTATTATTGTCACCAGAGAGAACTTTGACATCTTTCCCTAATTGCCCACCTGCTGCTTCAACAGAGCAAGAAGCTGAGGGAGGGAGGTCTTCTGGGATAGTGCTTCTGGAAGTTTGGTTCCTTTATACTTGGGGTTCTGGGATGCTAAAGCCACTGTGCTCACGGGCTAGGTGGTGGGCAGAGAAGAGCATCACTTTGCTGGTGTGCCCTTGGTGGAGTCAAAGCTGCTGGTGTGTGCAGGGGGTTGTGGGTGAGAGGCCAGAAGCAGAGGCAGCCAGAAAACCCTAGCTACGCGTTCTTGGCTCTCATTCTGATCCCTTCTCTGCAGTGGGGCTGACTTGCTGGCTGTCAACTCAGATGGGAACATGCCATATGACCTCTGTGAGGATGAACCCACCTTGGATGTTATTGAGACCTGTATGGCGTACCAGGGTAAGGGAGGCAGCATGTCCTAAATTGGGCACAATGCCGTCTAGTGTTTGAGTGCAAGTGAACACGTAAGCTGGCTACGGGCTTCCCTCCCTCAGTAAGTGGGACAGGCCCTCATTATTGTCGTCTGCGTGATGAGCAGGATAAGGACACGTAAGGACCCTGGAAAACGTGCTGTGCAAAAGGGAGGTATTGCTCTCATCCCTGTCACCCACACACACACGGGCAGCCTCAGCTGGCCTTGTCTCCTCTTTGTCAGTTGTGACAATTCAATTCCGTAAACATTTGCCATAAAGATATGTCCCCATTTGGGAAAAAATAAGTCAAGAACATTCACGGGTGCTGCTTTGTGCCAGGCACCAAACTGGCTGCCAGGGGCCCAGATAAACAAGCCGTGGGCTGGCCTCGGCTCACAGTGAGGTTCGGAGAAAGCGTGAGTAGCAATGAGAGCCGCTCCTGCTCCAGCATCCCGCACACACACCTGGGAAGCAAAGAACCTCCCGTGAGTAGGTCTTAAATCTAGACTTTCAACCACAGCCCGTGGCCCTGCTGGTCCTTGCCTTGCATTTCTCCCCAGGTTGTTGTGGTCCCTGCCAGTCTGGCCTCCCAGTTTCCTGGCACCCAAGCCTTTCCTATTCATCTCCTAAAGAGATTCTCACCATTTTTTTTTTTTTTTTTTTTTGCCTATCTGGTGAATCTATGGACCCCTTCTCAGATTAATATTTTTCAATGTAGTTATAAAATCTTAGGAATATAAAGGAAGATGAATTATATTCCGACATAGCTAATAAAATATCTTTAGATCTATTAGATGGAAACTTTATTAATTAACTCATTAAACAATGAGATGATATAATACGAAAATACGTAGAGTTTCTGTTGGTGATAAACCTCATAGTACATTCTAATGGTAACAATACTAAATTTCATTTAAAGGTTAGTCAAAATAAATATGTAATTTTTTTTGTCCTCTTAAGTGTATAGACCTCCCCCAAATTCTGTCCACAGGCCACTGGATCTAATGGATCTTTTTATCGGGCATGCAGCCCTCTTCTTAAATACCATTAGTAGCTGTCAGTGTCAGCTACACTTTTTAGTCAGGAATTCAAGCTATAAAATATCATTCTGGGCTCCTCTTCCTCAGTTTACTCAATTCTCCACTTGAAAGTAATATCTTCATTACTTCAGTCATTTCTACAACAAAAATATAGTGAATATTGTGCATGTTGAGATGCAGGAAACCAAGAGACTCTGGTGAGATAGGATGGCCAGCAGAGCGGAATGAGGCAGGCAGAGCAGCCAGTGGGGCAGCTGGAGGTACTCGGGTGGCTGGTTGGAACTCCCAGGCAGGAGAGCAGCACTGTGAAAGTAACTGATGTCAGCACAGTGCACACTGGGAGCCAGGCAGGAATGGTCCTCTCCCTGAGGGCCATCACATGGTGTTTGTGCTCAGCAGGCCTGGGGGACAATGAGCTGTAGGAATGTCCATGTACCCCTTTGGCTGATGGATCCTAGGGACAGGAACCCTGCCCCCATCTGTCTTCCTGTTCCTCCTTAGGGCTTTGGCCTATGAGTGCTGAGTAGACCCTCTTTTCCCAACGCAGGCATCACCCAGGAGAAAATCAACGAAATGCGAGCGGCTCCTGAACAGCAGATGGTCTCAGACATCCACTGTATGATTGCAGCTGGCCAGGACCTTGACTGGATAGATGCCCAGGGTGCCACACTGGTGAGCAGACTGGTAGGCCAGGCTGGCTTAGGTTGGGGGCAAATGCCAAAACCAAGACTATCTAAGGCCAAATTGGGCCAGCTCCTGGTGGGGGCTAAGCCTTTACACTCTTGGATTGTCTGTGACCTGGGATCTCCCCATATCCTTTGGGTCCAGGGTTGCTCCTGGAATATGGAAGGTTAGCAGAGTAGGGGCTCAGTCTCTTTGGGACCCTCACCACTCTCAGCTGTGAGTCAGGAGCCCTAGATGAGAGGCTTTTCCCAGGCTGGCCTTGAACTCTAAATCCTCCTGCCTCAGCCTTCCTAGTGCTGGGATTATAGGTGTGTTCTACTATGCTCATTTAGGCTCTACCCTTTACAAGAAGGTATGTCAAAGAATTTGTAGACATATTTGTAAACCATCATATCAAGGCCTTCTCCAGGACTTAGCACGCAGTCAGGAAACCCCAAGGGAAAAGAGGCCGCCTCTCTGTTTTCTCTTCTAGGTCCACATTTTCAGACTTATAAGTCCTCTGCAACATGACTGATACTTCCCTCTCATTCTATTCCATTCTGCTGACCCAAGGATGCTCTGGGACTTGAGGATGGGACCATATCCTGCCTCCAAGTATGGGGCCGGCCCCCTATGGAAGGCTCACTTCTGTCCTCTCTTCCAGCTGCACATAGCTGGAGCAAATGGATACCTGCGGGCAGCTGAGCTCCTTCTGGACCATGGAGTGCGTGTGGATGTGAAGGACTGGGATGGGTGGGAGCCCTTACATGCAGCAGCCTTCTGGGGACAGGTAATTCCCAACCAAAGGGCTGTGGGGAAAGCCAGTGCAGGGTCAACCTGCTGTCACCAAGTCCTTTGGGCTGGTGGTTGGTTCAAAAGAATATAAGACCCTCTTAAGGTGTTGTCTACAGCAAGTATGTGGGATATGAAGAGGCCCAAAGAGTTTGCAGAAACATCTGACCAGTTTTGTCCTAACAGGCTTCTAACCAAATCTGCCATATTAGAAAATTCCCAGCATTTCTGCATTTCTCCATTTGTTTCCTAGATACGGTTGCAGCTTCTGCAGTTGCTCTGTAGGCACCTGGCAGCTCTAGAGTTACAGCTGACTTCTCCTTCTCCTCCTTGGAGTTACCCAGGCATGCCTGAGGAGGTGCCAAGCCCATTGGGTCTGCCAGTATCCCTCATAGCACCAGGGTACAAGACCTTCCTTGTTCCTATAGGAATCAGCTTTATTCCACTGTTCTCTGAGATACATCTTAAAAGGTCTTGGTCACTGTCTTCATTTCCTTGATTTTCTGAGCCTTGGGCAGGGTGAAAACATGGCTTCTTCCTGTGCTTCAGATGCAGATGGCAGAGCTGTTGGTGTCCCATGGAGCTAGTCTCAGTGCCAGGACATCCATGGATGAGATGCCAATAGGTAAGTTCACCACAAATCTTTGTACACCCATAGGCACTCATCAACTTTTCGATGGGTGAATGGATAAGATAGATGGATAAGATGGATAGATTGGTGGGTAGAGAGATAGAAGAATTAGTTAATTGTTGGATGGTGGATGGATGGATAGATGGGTAGATGTGATGATGGATGGTGGATGAATGAAGGGTGGTTGGCTGGATGCATGAATAAGTGAGTGGATGAGTGGGCAGAGGGTGAATCTATGGATGGATGACCAGGTCAACAAATAGATGGCTAGGTGGATAAAGGGATTAGGTGGATTGAATAGAGGGTTTATATGGATTTCTCAGCATCTTCGTATCACTTACTTGAGGTATCTGCTTATTTTTCTCACTGCTTCTCATATCAGTGGAGACTTGACTCTCCCAGAAGCTATCAAACAGGAATATGAGTCCCTGGGTCTTAGGTGGGAACTTCAGGAGTTGTCACCATGTGTGGGACCCAGGTTTCCCATTCTCATACTTCTCTAAGGAAATAAGGCTGATGTCATTTTCTCCCCTCCCTGCATGCTCCAAAAGATGCTTAGAGCTTCCAGTGGGGTGGTGAGGCAGCTCCTGTGGTCTGGAGCAGCCTCTTGGGTCACAGGTCCTGCTCTGCCCTCTACAACCAACTCTTCTGCCTCTTCAGACCTGTGTGAGGAGGAGGAGTTCAAAGTCCTGCTTCTGGAGCTGAAGCATAAGCATGATGTGATCATGAAGTCCCAGCTGAGGCACAAGTCGTCCCTGAGCCGGAGGACGTCCAGTGCTGGCAGCCGGGGGTGAGTCCTGCAGGGCACCCAATGCACTCCTGCATGCATCCTGGTGGGGCGCCAAGATGTAGCTTCCCAGCACCCTCTGTGTCCCCTTAGGAAGGTGGTGCGTCGAGCCAGCCTGTCGGACAGGACCAACCTGTACAGGAAGGAGTATGAGGGAGAGGCCATACTGTGGCAGCAGCGGAGCGCAGCTGAGGATCAGCGCACCTCAACCTTCAATGGGGACATCAGGGAGACCAGGACAGACCAAGAGAATAAGGACCCGGTGAGTGACCTCTCACCTTGCCCCAGTGTCAGCCTCTGTCTTGGGAGCAGGACAGGGCCTAGCCTGGCCTTGCCTCTTCATCTGAGAACCTTCTGAGGGAAGTAGCCGGGCAGTGTCCCTAAGCAGTGGTCTGCCTTTCTGGTTCTTCCACCTCGTGATGAACAGACGGAAACATTTGTGGGTAGTATTGCCTTGGCTGTACACAAACACTGTTTTGGCAGCTTGCTGGCCAGGATGCCCAGCATGCCGGGTCTCATTGGGACCCTGCTTCCCATTGTGAACAGGGGGGTCACCCATGAACCACTTCATCAGCAAGATGGAGGCACCTGCCACAGGAATGGCCACTGAGCCCCAGGCTGGGCCCAGAGAGGGCACACATGGAAGCTTTGTTCCTGTTAAGTCCCTAAACTTGAGAGCTGGGGAGGAAGACTTGGAGATCAAAATCACATTTCAGATACCTCCCAGCTGTGTTTTATTTCTTTGTGATTGAGAGGGTGTCTCACACATGGTACAGAACACAAATCTTTTTCTTTTTTTTGTGGTACTGGGGTTGAACTTGGGGTCTCATGCTTGATAGGCAGGCAGTCTTCCACTTGAGCCACACCCTCAGCCCTTTTTGCTGGGTCTCACATTTATGCCCAAGCTAGCCTGGACCACGATCCTTCTTTTTATACTTCCCACATAGCTGGAATGACAAGTGTACACCACCATGCCTAGCTTTTTAGGATTCAGATGGTGTCTCGCTGACTTTTTGCCTAGGCTGGCCTTGAACCATGATCCTCCCGATCTCCACCTTCCAAGTAGCTAGCGTCACAGACGTGAGTCACCCCGTCCTGCTGAAACACTTTCTAAATCAAGTCTGTGCTGAACACGTACAGACTTTTTTCTTGTCTTTATTCTCTGAACAATACAGTATAACAACAACTTTCATAGCATTTACGTTGTATTAGATATGCTAAGTGATGGAGAGATGACTTAAAGTTTATGGGAGGGTGTACATAGTAGGTTTTGTGTGCAACAATATGCCATTGTATATAAGAGACTTGAACACTGGAGAATTTGGGTACCAATGGCGAATCCTGGAACCAATCTTGAGTGGATTCTCTGGGATGATGGACGATGACATTATAATTTGCTTATCCATTCTCCTTTTGGTGGACATTTGGGTTGTTTACAGATGGGAGCTGTTATGAAAAAGCTACCATAAGCATCCTTGTGTGCATCTCTTGGTGGACATGGCACTATTTGCAGTTGGGTGTATGCTCAGGAATCCAGTACGGGGTACTGGCCCGTTTATCGTTAGTAGAAACTGCCATCATTTACCAAAGTGATCGTCCCTGTTGACTGTTGTCTTCAGCAGTGCGATTGTTTCTCGGCACTCCTGTTTCTCGGCACTCCTCGTTCAATAAGCTCCTTTTAACTGGAGCCATCCTCACAGGCTTGCTGTGGCGGCTCACATTTTAAATTAATATTTACCTGCTGATGGGAGATGTTGAGCGCCTTTTCATGTGCTTATTGGGTCTTCAGTTAGCCTCTTTCCTGAAACACTTTTTTTGATTTGTAGCAGGCTAAGATTCTTAAAGACAGCCTTAGAGAAGCAGCCCCTATTTCCCTATGCTTGCTTTATCTCTGTTTGGTTCATGGCTCAGACCCCAGGACTCCCCCACAAGTCTACCACGAATCACTGAGCTTATAGTGAAGCAGGATACAGGTACAGGGTGCTAGGAACCACCCTCTTTAGGCCTGATCTTGTTACTGTTACTATTGTTAATTTCCAGGGCTTCCCCCAAGGCTTCAGGTAATCTGGCGCATAGTTTGGTGCTTTTTTGCCTTGGGGCTGGAGTTTTCAGACCTGAGAGAAGAGGAGGTACAGAGATGGCATGGCCAAAGTGAGCAATCCTCACCCCAGTTACCCAGCAGCCCACCTCAGGGCAGCTGTCAGGGTCTGGAGCCCTAAGAAGATCCCAGCCCCAGTGCTGGAGAAAACAAGATCATAGGACATAGTTACAGAGTTCGAAACATGTTCCCTTTCCATCCCTTCCTTTCCAGGCTTCAGGTGCTGGCAGAGATGTGATCTCTCTAAGTCAGGAATTCTCAAAGCCAGGTCCCTGGACCAGCTGTATCAGCATCCCTGGGAACTTCTTAGAAATGTGCATCCTCAGGTCCTCCTTTCCCCCATGTACTGAATCAGAAACTCTGGCCTTGGGCCCAGTAACTTGTGTTTAATCAGCCTCTCCAGGCATGGCTCTGAGGCACACAAGAATGTGAGAGCCACTCAATCTAAGAGAGCATTTGTTCAGCCCGCCCACCTCATCAGATTCTCCTGGGGCCCCCAAGCCTGGCCTTGGCTCACACTTTGGCACAACTCATTCCCTTGTAATGGGTCCAACAGGAAGAGGACAGGCCTAGTCTCTTCAACCTGTGGCTCGCCAATTTAACTGTGCAATAAATCACCTGGGGAGGAGTTTTCTTTTTAAAAATCTTGATGTCTGCCCTGTGGACCAGACTGACTAAAGGAGACTCTTTGGGACTGGAACGCAGACATTGTGTATATGATTTTCTCTTTTTAATCAGTGGATGTCATGTTTCTGAACATTTTTTCTAACAGAAAAAAGTGTGGAAAGTGCAGACAGTTCCTGTATACCCCTTTGACTTGCCACACTCCATTCCCGCCCCCCAGGCTCCCCTTTGAATATCTTATATTAGTGTAGCACATATGCTACCATTGATGAGCTGGTTCTTTGCATTATTATTGACTAAGACCTATAGTTTACATGAGGGTTCACGCTGTGTTATACATCCCATGGGTTTTGACAAACACAGGTATCACCTCTTTACCATTGAAGGATCATGCAGAACACTTTCACTGCTCTCCAAGTCCCCATTTCTCCATCCATTCATCCCCCCCAAACCCTGGCAGTCACTAATCTTCCTAACTCCATAGGTTGTCCTTTTCCAGGGTGTCATATAGTTGGAATTATACAATGTGTAGTCTTTTGAGATTGGCAGTACATATAGTTGTCATTTAGCATCCATGTGGGAGTGTGTGTGTTTGTGTGGGAGTGTGTGTGTGTGTGTGTGTGTGTGTGTGTGTGTGTGTGTGTGTGTGTAGTTTTAGGACCCTCCCTCCTTCAGATACCAAAATTTGCAGATGCTCAGATTTTACAAACGGTGTAGTATTTGCATTTAAGCTGCACGTGCTCCCACTCCTTGTACCAGATGACTTACAATACCTAATACAGTGTGTTGCTGTGCCATATTGTCTAGTGAATAATGAGAAGAGAAACGTCTGTAGGTGTTCAGTACAGACACAGTTTTTTGTGCGTGAATATTTTCCATCCTCATTTGATTAAATGCACAGATGTGGAAGGAACCTATAGAGACAGAAGTTGGCTGTAAATGTATCTTAATCTCCAGATGATCCCAATGTGTATCCAAAACACAGGGTCTTGCTACTCTAAGCATCGGCGTTAGAAATGCCAGATTTCAGGTCCCAGCCAGACCTGAATGTGCATTTTAGCAAGGTTCCTTACTGAGTAAGGCTATTCATGTGCACTGTAGTGTTCAAGAGGTACTGACAGACCATAAAGAACCTGTGTGCCTCCCTGTATGCTGTGGCATCGTTCTGCCTGCATGGCTCAGAAGAAGCCATTGCGAAGGGAGAAAGGCACACATGTGTGGAAGCTGATTATGGGGTATAAACCTCCTTGTACTGTATTTTGACCTAGTTGTATATTGCTTGGAGATTCTTCTGTGCCAACACATGGGGATTTCTTTCATTCTTTTTACCAGCTGCAGAACATTGTAACACACGTGCTGACTTGACTTTCAGGTCTTGTACCCCATGAGGGGAGGAGGTATGTCTGTGAAACATGTCCCTGAAATGGGCTTGCTGGAGTGAAGTATGTGTTATTCTTTAAAAAAATTGCTTTGGATAGATGGATGGATGGATGATGACATTGTTCTCCAGAGAGGTTGTGGCAGTTTATAGTCTCACACTCTTGCCAACACTGAGTAAGGGAACTCTTTTAATATACTTGTCAATGGAATAGGGAGAAGTTACACACACACACTTTTTGGCAGAACTGGGATTTGAACTCAGGGTTTCATGCTTTGTTTGACAAGCGCTCTACCACTTGAGCCATGCCCCAACCCTTTTTGGTTTAGTTGTTTTCCAGATGGGCCACCTTTGCTCAGAACGGGATCCTCCTACCTCTACTTCCCGAGTAGCTGGAATTACAGGCATGCATCACAACAATTATATTTTGGGTTTTGTTTTTTATGCCACTGATATTTGTGAGGCTGTTTTTTTTTTTTTTTTGCCAGTGTTTATATGCTATGCATTTCCATATGAGTGGTTTTTTGCCTATTTTTTTCTGTTGGGTAGTTAGGTTTCTTTAAATTGACTTTTAAGAGCTCTTTATATATTTGGGAAATTAGTCCTTTTGCTGTCATAACTGTCACAAATATTTTACCTATGTTTTTCATGCGTCTTTTGGCTCTGTTTACAGTGATTTTTGCTATGCTTTACATCTTTGTTTCTGTCGAATGTGTCTACCTTTGGTTTATAATTTCTAGGCAGCAATTACTTCCAAACTCTTTTTATCCAAGGATTATTGGATGTACATCACTTTTGTGAGGATCTCTGTCACGTGAAGTGGAAATGTGTTGGAAAGAAAGGAAGGAATACAAGTGACTGAAAAAAAAATAACCAAAATTGACTTCGCCAATCCCCCCAAAAAGCCCTGATTTTATTGGCTAATATAACTGAAAAAGCCTGGGCCCAAGCAAGATCCAGGGGATGAAAACACAGCATGAGGTCACAGCCTCTCTCTGACTCTAGTCTTCATTGCTGTTGGCTTCTCTGGCAAGCAGAGAAAGCACCTCTGCCATGGTGTCTCCCCAGCCCTGGCTTTCTTCTTCCTTCTTAACACCCACAGTTCCTACAGAAGCCCCTCCTTCCCAGCTGTTGTAGCGAAAGTTCAGGGGTTGAGACTTACTGGACCCATATCAATTGAGAACTCATTCCTGGACCAATCCCTGTAATAAAATATGCTCATTAGCTGGGCCTGGGATCATGGTCTATCCCTGGAGCAAGGATGGCCAACTTGTCAACTGTGCCAGAACACGTAGATTGGAGATGCCCCAAAGGAACACAGAGCCCTACTCCACTGGTAGGGAAAATGGATTCAGGGGACAGTGGTCCAGGCTCTATCCTCAGTGGTAGGGATAGGTATACATCCTGTATTCTGATGGTGATGTTGCCCTTCTCCCTTCAGAACCCCAGGCTGGAGAAGCCCGTGCTGCTCTCAGAATTTTCTACCAAGATCTCACGGGGTGACCTGGATGGGCCTGTTGAAAATGGCCTCCGGGCTCCAGTCAGTGCCTACCAGTATGCACTGTCCAACGGGGATGTCTGGAAGGTGCGTGAGGTGCCTGACTACAGTATGGCCTACAGCAACCCTGGTGTGGCTGATGCTACCCCACCCTGGAGTGGCTACAAAGAGCAGAGCCCCCAGACGCTCCTGGAGCTGAAGCGCCAGCGGGCTGCAGCCAAACTGCTCAGCCACCCCTTCCTGAGTACCCACCTGGGCAGCAGCATGGCCAGGACGGGGGAGAGCAGCAGTGAAGGCAAGGCCCCTTTGATCGGAGGCAGAACTTCGCCCTACAGCAGCAACGGGACCTCGGTGTTTTACACTGTCACCAGCGGAGATCCCCCGCTCTTAAAGTTGAAGGCCCCCATGGAGGAGATGGAGGAGAAGGTCCATGGTTGCTGCCGCATCTCCTAGTCTCGGGGAGGGGTCCCTGGAATCCAGGCCAGCCCAACAGCCTTGGCTGGGGAGGTATCAGAGGGTTGCCGGAGAGAGGTGGGCTCTGCTTTCCAGAGGAATGCTGACCCCACCCCTCACCCAGCTGCCCACAGCATCTCTACTCCCCTCCCTTCTGCTTCCTGCTGCATTGTCTGCCATCTGAAACATAGTGGCTTCTGAGTTACTCTGCTGTCCAGTTTGGAGAGGGTGGGTTTGGGGTTCTTAGTGAAGGCTTCTGGGGACCAGGACTTCCATAAACACACACACACACACACACACACACAAATGGTCAGCCCATATGTACAAGAATAACACACCTGGGCTCTTAGAAGCAGATGGGGCCAAGACTGTGGGCCTTCCCAGAAGGATGAGGCAAAGACTTGCTCCATTGCCAATGTGTCTTAAACAGGGGAGAGGCCTACCCAGCTGAGCCCCACAGTCCTGCTCAGAGTCACACCAGGAGCTGGTGCTGGTGGGGCCACCATCCACACCTGGCAGGGACAAGAAGTCCTCTTCATGTTCCAGGGAACCAGAAGTCCACATGGGTTGGGTTTGACGGGCACAGGCCTGCTGTCACAGCCTTGTCAGGAGGAGGCAGGAACCCTGTTGACAGCCCAGGAGCCCAGGTCATTCTACTCTGGAAGAAACCAAATCATGTTTTGCTCTTGGATGGAAAGTATCCAGGAGGCATTTGATAAAAGCATTCTTTTAGGTTGTAAAGCTCCAGGTGGGAAGTCAGTGAAAGTCTGCTTCTTCCAAGATGGAGTCACAATCAGGTTTTACTGGCTAATACTGGAGAAATGAAGCTCAGTGAGGAGCATCTGGGGGAGGCCTTTTCCAGGGAAGGGTAAGTTCACTTCCAAGAGCATCTGTGGTTATCAGTGATCGAGCCTAGCACCCTGGCCATCTTTGTAATAGTCAGGCTTTTTCAGTCCAGCCCAGGTTAGCCAGTCCTGCCCAGACTGAGCCATCACAGTGAACCATCACAGTGAGGCCACCTGTGCCCCACCCTCCCACCGTACATGTCAGTCATGTGTGCACAGTGAATGCTTAGGACTCCCAGCCTTTTCTGGGATGCTCTGTGAAAAGATTGCCAGGTGGCCACTGTGAGTTTCCACATGGCCTGGGGTTCCCAGCCTGCTGCAGTTGGAGTGGTGATGCCACAAGGCTACAAATCCCAGGTTCCCAGGACCACCATCCCACGTAGACTGGAGTTGGGTGTCACCTGGCCCTATAATTTTGTAGCCCGTTTTTCTGATGGAGGAGGAGGAAGGGCCCTGCCACCTCACTGTTACATTCTCTCATGACCCCTTTGATATTGTTGCCCAACAGTGATCGGTGATCACAGGCTCAGCCAAAATCCTTTGGTGTAACTAATAAGCCCCAGGGTTGTCCTCTGCTCTGTACATCTTTTATTCATCCAAAAACTACCTCCGTAGAGCTCTGAAGGAGCCCCCTAGGTCCAGATTCTGAAGTGGGGAACAGATCTTTAATCCACTTCTTTCTGAGCCTGTGAGAAATTCTCCCTCAAGGGCACCTGAGCTGGGGTGCTGGGGCTGGAGGAGTCTTCCTTGTGCCACAACCCTGTTAAAGGGTCTGCTATTTGTCAGTCTCAGTCCCCTACTCTGGCCCCCATGGCTCGTAGTTCAGAGACCTCTTGGGGCCTGACTGATGCTTTACCAGGAGCAGGGTAGTGGGCCAGAGAGTGCACTGGGTACCAGGCCACTCCCACCCAACTCCAGGACAGATGGAGTCTAGGGTAGAGGAGTGGCTCAGGAAGACAGGTATATATCACACCTCTCACATCTGTGCTCTCCCTTATCTCAGCCTATGGTTGAAGCAGTGGATGCTCTGAAACACATAGTTTTGGCTTCAAAATAGCATTTAGCTCTGACAGACACTGAAATCATTCTGGACCTGACTTAAGCCACAAGGTTGGGGGAGGGGGGTGTTGCTACAGGCAGCCTCACACTCCTCAGGAGACAGCTGCACAAGGTTTCTGACCTGTTTGTTCAGGGGCAGAGACAGAAGGCATTTATTGCTCAATCTGAACCCTCCAGCCATTCGCTCCCTCCGCCTTCTTCCTGCCTCCTGGGGATTCCCACTGGCCTCTCATATAGGAGCTGGCCTCAAACAGAGGACTCCTCATTTGTTCCTCCAGGAATAAACATTCCCTGTTAGGGCTGCAAGTCTCCAAGAAGCTTTCCCTGCAGGTTTCCAAGTGGTGAGGGACAAGTTGAGGTACAACCTCCAATAAATGGGCCAGGGTCGTGGAAAAGTTGAGGTAGAACCTTCAATGAACAGGCCAGGTTCACCCTTTTGCTCACTCATGTAACTTACTGAGCAGCTGTAACAGAGCAGGCACTATGTTAGGCTCTGTGGATAAAGGAGTAACAAGACAGAGTGAGAACTGCTCTGTCTGGCCTTCAGCTTAGGGGACCATGGGACTCCACAGCTCCATTCAACCCCCTGAGCAGGAGGGACTGCATCCCAGCCCAGTGCTCCTGGAGTAGAGCGTGAATCCCTTTAGCTGAGAAACAGCTTCATGGCCACCCCGGTAATATCTGCCACTAAATGTAGATGCTAGATCTTGGATCACAGGCAGACACAATCCTAGGTCCATCTGAAAACTTCATGGGTCGCTGCCTTTAGGCCAGTATCCCTTGGGGACAATATAATAGCAGTCTGAGGTCAGTGTCTAGAAGAATAAGGAGTCTGAAACTTGTTGCCAAATGCATCTTTGGTCCTTAAAGTCATTATTTCTTGCTCACTTTTGGGCATTTATCACATAGCCCTCACCAGTGGATACTGAGAGGGAGAACAACCATTCCTTTCAGTGTCGAAGCCTTTCCCTGGCAGGTGTGGATCACGTTGCTGGGAGAAGCCTGGAGAGGTCAACCAGGTGCTCAGCTCCCACTGAGGCCCAGGTGTGGTGGCCAGTCCTGGCAGACTGAAGGAGGCCACTTTCAAAGCAGGTGCCCCGTGGCTCACTGTGAGCTCTGGCCTTTGCTCCCACATTGTGCCCACAAACAACTGCAGATTGGTGGCTATCAGCAGATTGTGTTTCTGGCCAGTAGCTCAGGGAATCTGAATGAACCCTCAGCCCAGGTCTACTGAAGATTTAGAATATAATTCTCCACCAAATATGCAGCATTAGTAAAACTGCTTTGTAATGTTCGATCCATTTCAAGAGGTTAGGAAAGTTGGCAAGAGTGTGGCGGGTATCCTGTCCACCAGTAGTTTGCTAGCTTTGTGATAACACAACACTCTTGGTTCTTGCTCTCTTGATCCCGAATGTTCTCTTGCACCTACTTTCCAAAACAGGCTACTAGGGTACTTTCTAGAAGGGCGCTCCTTATAACATACCCAGAAGGAACATATGTAATTCCTGCTATTTGCAGTCTGGGGATAGCCGCTCCTCCTCCAGGACACAAAAAAGCAAAGGATCACACATGGTCATTGGCCAACTTCGCAGAAATGACCCTCTTTGCCTGGAGCCCTAGCCCTCTCCTCCATGACAACCTCTTGTTGGCCAGAGGGCCTGCTTCCCATGGGCTCTGCAGGTGCCACAGTGTAGGGCCTGGCCCTGCACACCCAGGAAAAGTCTACAGACCCCCAGCCCTCTGCAATAATTCCAGACCAGAAGCCACTGACGTACAGAGAACACTTAAGAAAAATGTATTTTATGTGAAAAAAAAGGTTAAAACTCTGTATACTGTATCAGCAGCTTTGTGTACAAAATGGCAATCAAGAGATTCTAATATATTTAAAACTTTTTTAAAAAATAATCCTCATGGATCTTTGATATTGTATTGAAGTAACTTCCAGGTCTCCCCTTGCCATGCGGGAGTGGCAGGCCATGTGTCCAAGACGGGTCTAAGCACATCCCAAAGGGACAACACCCCTGGAGTTGCTTCCAGCTGCCAAGGCCTGTGATGGAATTTGCTGTTAAGAATTTTTAATTAAGATTATTAAATTCCTTTTAATAACACCTGCTAATGTGACTGTGGTTGTTGTGAACTCACTGGATCTGAGTTGACTTGAATTTGCAGAGGTGGGGCTATGGATAGAGGGTGGGTGACACTTCCCAAAACTACTACAGAGGGCCCTCTGAGGAGGTCCCTGAAGCAAAAAGTTTCTGGGGGAGGGTCCCAGATGGAGCAGGTGTGTTTCTGGATAAGGAGGTGGTGAAAACTGATGAATTCAAGAAAAGGTAGGTGGAGCTGGGTATGGTGGCTCATGCCTGTAATCCTAGCTACTCAGGAGGTGGAGGTCAGGAGGATCACAGTTCAAGGTCAGCCCCAGTGAGAAACTAGCAAGACTCCATCTCAGACAATAAAAGCTGGGCATGGTGGCACGCTTCTGTCATCCAGCTACTGGGGAAACATATATAGGAAGATCGAGGCCCAGGCTGGCCCTGGCATAAAGCATGACCCTATCTCAAAAATAACCAAAGCAAAAAGGGCTGGGGACATGGCTCAAGTGGTAGAGCACCTGCCTAGCTAGCACAAGATCCTGAGTTCAGACCTCAGTACCCCAAAACATATATTAAAAAAGAAAACACAGGTGGTTGAGAATGAACTATAGTCTGTCAAAAACTCCTTTTGAACTTACACGAGGCCCTATAATAGCATAAATTTATCCCCAACATTTTCAAAATTGCCTGGTGATGTATTTATATGCAACAAGGGTGGCCCCTCCCCTTTTCCATTCTTGGAGCGTATGGACTTGTTCTGTCCTTTCTCCCTGCCCCCTCCTGTCTTTCTCTTTTAGCTTATAGGGAAGAAGTAAAATACTTTGTAGTACTTCACTTTTTTACAACAATATAGCAGGTAAAGCCCTGGTTATTCTCATTCTTTTTCACCTCACATAATGCAGGTATAGAGAAGCTATATGGTTGCACAGCCCCAGACCATGGCCTTTGTCCTTGTCACGTGCAAAAATTAGTTGATGTCTTGAAAGAGGACAGAAAGGTTGCTCTGTTTAAGACTTCTTGGTCCTGGATGCCAGAACAGGGACACAAAGAAGGCCCAACACTTAGGCTTAAGTAACTTCACAGACAGGCTGGGGCTGGCGGAGGATGGGAAGAGAGGGAGAGGTGAATTAGCAGCAATGGTATTGGTTCAGTTTAAAAGCTTAAGGGCTGCTAATTAAGAATGGTAGCTGGTGCTGGGCATAGTGATGCAGGTCTGTAATCCCAGCTATTCAGGAGGTGGAGGCAGGAGGATCACAAGTTCAAGGCTAGCTCCAGCAAAGTTTAGGGAGACTGTATCTCAAACCCAAAATATGAACAAAAGAGCTAGGAGTGTGGATCAAGTGGTAGAGCACTTGCCTAGCAAAACCCTGGATTCAATCCCAGCACTGGAAGAACAAAAAAATGGTAACTTCTCACATTTACGAAGCACTTTACAGTTGTATATATGCTCTCTTTTCTACACAAAGTAAATGCAGCCTGGACACTGCTGGGCAAGAGGTGTTGGTAGGGCAGTGGGGCTATTCACCTTATTGGAGTTTCAGGAAGAATGAGAGGAAAATAGCAAGGTCACTGGTTTGAGGTTTTAGGCTGCAAAAGTGAACAGAAAAATGAGGAAGACCAGAAAGGATTGTTTTAAGATGAACAATATTTCAGCATGCTTTTATGCTGTTTGGAATGAATCAATAAGGAAGGGAACATGAGGAAGCAGGAGAGAGTAGAGAATTGCTGGAAGACGCAGTGGAAACCAGTGTGGGGCAGGCTCAGGAACAATTCACTCATGGAAACAGAAGGTCTTCTATGTGGGCAGAGATGCAGACGGGAGATGGGTGTGGTGGACACCTGTGGATGTCCTTTCTGCTGCCTCTGTTTTCTCAGTGAGATAGGAAGAGAGCTCCCTGAGAGTAAGGAGAGAGGAAAAGTTAGAGTGAATGAGGGAAATGTAGGCTAGCAGGCAATCTTGGGGACACACTTGAGATCAGGAATTTGAAGTGCAACCAATCAACAAACATGATTGCATTTTTTTCCCTCCAGTCCTGTAAAACTGCCCAGGTGCATGTGGAAAGTGGGTTTAAAATAGGTTTGGGGCTTTGCTAGGCAACAACGACGAAGTGAGGGGAGAGGAATAGGAGTGGCTATCATGACAGACCAGTATATGCATATATATTTATATCAGCCTCCCAAGTGCTGGGATTACAGGTGTGCACCATCACACCCGGGTTTGGACTAGTATTTTTGAATGAATGAATTTTAGATACAGGGGATAAAGGCAACATGGTTGGCTACACCCAAGCTCTGAGAACAGTGCGGTCAGAATGCCCAGGAGCAAGCTCCAGTCTCTCCTTTCTCCCTCATTTCCCAGGTTTGACAGTCCCAGGCCTCATAGGGCCGTGCTGTGAGACTACCGGCAGGGGGGCGCGGTAGAATGGCGGGGATCGGCTCTAGGGACTCTGCTGGGAGCTTCGTTGCCCGCTTCGCCTCCCCGGGCTGCTCCTGCAGCTGACCGCGCAGGACTCGGTTTCCAGGAGAAGGCCAGGAACCACTAAAGCAGGACGAGCATAGAGCAGCCAAATTTAAATTCCTCTCAGCAATCCGGCAGGGAGAGCCGGGTACCCAGGGTTAATACCGACGGGGCGTGGAGCAGCCAATAGCAATCAAGGGGTAGGGCCTTGGCGGTGTGCGCCCCACCCCTCCCTGACGTCAGGAGGTAGGCAGCGAATGGGAGAGTCGGGGCGGGGCTGCGAGCCAATGGCGCGGGTCTGTTTGATTCAAAGGTGCATATAAAGCGGCCCATAAGGTCCTCCCGGACCCAAGCGTAATCGGGTCCGAGCGCCGCCATGGCTCTGCAGACCGAGGTCCTGGACGAGCTGCCCGTCGCCTGCTTGTCACCGTGCGGGCCGCCCAACCCAACCGAACTGTTCAGCGAGGCGCGGCGCCTGGCGCTGGAAGAGCTAGTGGCGCGCGGCCCCGATGCCTTCGCGGCCTTCCTGCGGCGCGAGCGCCTGGGCCGCTTCCTGAACCCGGACGAGGTGCACGACGTGCTGTGCTCGGCCGAACGCCCAGGCGAGGAGGGCGCGGCGGCGGCGGCGGCCGAGGACTCGTTCGGCTCGTCGCACGACTGCTCGTCGGGCACCTACTTCCCCGAGCAGTCGGACCTGGAGCCACCGCTGCTGGAGCTCGGCTGGCCGGCCTTCTACCAGGGCGCCTACCGCGGTGCCACGCGCGTCGAGGCGCACTTCCAGCCCCGCGGCGCGGGCGCCGGCGGCCCCTACGGCTGCAAGGACGCCCTGCGCCAGCAGCTCCGCTCCGCACGCGAGGTGAGCGGCCCCCGGGGTCCGCCAAGGCCCCGGGTCGGACGGGAGATGCATTCCAGAAATGGAAATTGGAGGGCTGCGGGGAGCGCGGGCGCCGGGGCAGCACCCCACCAGGTGATCCCGGGCTCCTCGGCTCGCCCCACTCTGCGGGTCACCCTGGGATCCAGGCCGTTCTTGGTGGCCGGGGGAAATGGGAGGAGTTTCGGTCCCCAAGGCTGCGAATTGAACCGTTGTTCTAACTTAGTGCTCATATTCCTGGAGGAAACAGCAGAAATGCGTTCCTTTCCAACGTAACAGTTAAAACCAAACTGGATGACAAATTTTCCTGGCCGTCAGCCAGCACTAGATCCCATTTTCTGGAGCGTCTTAAGACGCGCATTATTAAATAGTCGCCTTGCCTAAGAAAAAGTTTTTGAAAGATGGGCCCCAGAGACAGTTGTGGGGCATTGGGAATCAATTATTGATAATTACTTCCACGAATCTCATGTTTAGACAGCGGTTAAACACAGGAGTGGCAAAGCGAGAGGCCTGCCCCTTGTGCCTCCTACCAGAGATCGAAGGAAAAGCTGCCCTTCTGTGAATGAGAGGGGCCAGGTTTTGCTTTTCCACGAGCAGGGATTGTTCCAGGTAGTGTTGCCCTCCTAAAACGCAGATAGCTCCGCATTAGATCAGTCTCTAGGCGCAGTGGGTTTTGGTCCTAGAATCTGACTCAGTGCGTGGCCTGTCAGGATGAAATGGAAAGCAGGGTGCTGAGGGTTCAGGGAGGAAGAATGCAGCAGAGGAGTGTGGAGTGTGTGTGGCAACAGACACCTTAGTCCAAGCCATGGCCTACTTCATTGCTGACCATCAGTGCTCAGCTTCCTGGGCTTCTGGCTGTGCCCAGGACAAGGCAGGTAAAGTCCCAGGTCATAGTGAGACTTGGTAGACCTGGTACCACCTTGTGACTGGGTGACCATCTGTGCATCCAGTGCAGCTGAAACAGCCAAATCCCCAGATAAGCAAGCCTGTGTACCTGATGTTGGTTTTTCTTTCCTGACTGGCAGGGCTACGGTGATAGAACAGACTGTGACCTGGTGCCTTGCCCCTGGGGGAGTGGGTGAATCACCTCATGGTGCTTTGGGTAGGCTGAGGGTTCTTTTGATGGTATAGACATTTACTTGTGGGCTCAGTAGAAAGGTTACAAAGATGGAAGAGGCAGAATTGTGGGGAAGGTGTGCATTCCCAAAGCTCACCTCCAGGAGGGGAACTTGAACACTTGGAAAAAGTAGGTCTCCAGGAAAGACAGAGAGATATGGATGGACTGCTCTAGCTTTTTGCCCAGCCCCAAGTTTTACTGGTAGTGAAGGGGCACTGGAGCTAGAGGCCAGGAGAAAAACTGAACTTATGAGCTGGCCTTAGAAGAGAGTGAGGCTGAAACTTAGCTTCCCCCATCCTGTGGGTACTTGTAACACATTTCTGGATAGAGCCTTCTGCCTTGTCCTGTGCCCTGGTCTTGACACACTTTCTCAGATTTTATATTTGGGCAGTTTTCCCTGAGAAAGGAGATAAATTCAATGAGTATCTTCAGTGTATCTGCCATTTGCCGAATTGCTTGCTTCTTCAGTGCCTACTGTGTATCACACTGCCATGTTGGGGACACAGGGGAAGGTGTGGTCTTTGCCTGCACTGAAGGGTGGTCATTGCTGGTGGGAAGGGTGAAGAAGTTGTATAAGCAGTGAGGAAGGGACTGAAAGAAAGTCTCAGGAGTGGTGGCGACCTCAGCTGGGTCCAGGAGGGTGGGTGAGGCTTGCCTGGTAAAGAGGATGGGACTAACCTAAAGGTACACTTAGAGGTAGCCAAATTCCCCACAACTGGAGCACAAAGTACATGAAGGTGAGTGGTAGGAGGGGAAGTCAAAAGGGAGCAGGACAGAGGGCTTTGCACACTACTTAAAGAGTAATGGAGCTTGGTGTGGTGGTATATGCCTGTAATCCTATCACTTTGGGAGGCAGAGGAGGTTTATGAAATTTGAGATCAGCCTGTGCTACACAGTGAGATCCTAAATCTCAAAGAAAGAAAAAGAAAAAGAAAGAAAGGTTTCAGAAGGAGCAGTGGGGAGCCATTGGCAGTTTAGAGGGAGGGGAGTGTGACCAGAATGGTGTCCTGAGCAGTGATTCTGGCAGGAGGATGATGGAGGATGGGTTTGAGAGAAGTGGGACTGTGAGGGTGTGGCATAGGGTAGAGCTCCTGCCTGCTCTAGGTCCTGAGGTAGCTTGGGTAAGCAGCAATACTATACAAGCTGGAATATGGGAAGGAGAATAGGCAGAGAGGGATGCAGATGTGAGCTGGACCTGTTTTGAATTTGAAGTCCCAGAAGCCATCTCTTTTGTTAAAAAACAAATGAAAATGCTTCCTTTTTGCCAGACCCTATTCCAGATAATCTTACAATAGGTGCAATTATTATGTCCATTTTACAGATGATGGAATTGAGGCATGGAGAAGCTAGTTATCATGAGGCCGTGAAGCTAGGGAATGATGGAGCCAGGACTCAGCCTGAGGCAGACTCTGCCCATTTTAGCTGGCCCTGTCTTCAAGAGCTCATCCTCAGGTAGACAGGCCTATGGGTGGAGAGAGGGGATAGATGGCTTTGCTAGTGACTCTCAAGTAATGCCACCTGTAAAACCATGCATTGTACACCTAGGAGTGGCTGTGTCACACTGGCCCCATCCTTTGAAATCCATTACCTGTGACAGTGAGGACCAGGAACATGCATGCCTCTGGTGTTTTCAGATGCTACATCTGTATTCTGATGGCAAACCTACTTGATAATATGATTGAGCACTCTGAATGGACCCTTTACCTGGATTATCTCACATAACCCTCCCAATGCTCAGAGGAGGCCACAAGTGAGAAGAGACTAAGCACAGAGAAGTTAAGTAACTTGCCCAGGATCAAACCACATGAGACAGACTTGGGCTTAAGTCCAAGTCTGCCTGGCTCCAGGGCCCACACTCTAATTGCTACTCCACATAGCCTTCCATGTTTTCAATAGGCTGAAGGTTTTTTAAATGGCTTCTTAAAGAGTTGGATTTTTTTTTTAAGGGTAGCAAGCTAAGAGTTTTTATTGAATCATCTCAATTTATCTATTCTTTGTCTGTTATCTTGTGAATCAATTTAAATTTTTAAAAGATTGTTCATTTATTCACATGTGCGTACATTGTTTGGGTCATTTCTCCCCCCACACCCCATTCCAGGCAGAACCTGTTCTACTCTTAGCTCTAATTTTGTTGAAGAGAAGACATAAGCATAATAAGAAAGAGCATTTTTGCTAGTTGAGTTAAGGACAGCTATATAGAGAGATTCCTAGCATTGCTTTCATGTACAAATGTGTTACAACCCAAGTTGATTCATCTCTAACTGATCTTTACACTGGTGCCTGATCCCCTTCTCATGTTGACCACTGTTGCTTTAAGGTTTCTGTATTAGTTCCTCTGGAGTGGGGACATCAGACGCTTTCATGTTTTGGGTTTTCTACCTATTCCTATATCTCCCATATGTGTTCTCCCCTTGTCATGTGACCCAAGTCCAACAACATTGCTGCATTTGCCCTAGATCTAAAGTCCGCATATGAGGGAGAACATATGATTTTTGGTCTTCTGAGCCTGGCTAACCTTGCTCAGAATGATGTTCTCCAGCTCCATCAATTTACTTGCATATGATAAGATTTCATTCTTCTTCATGGCTGAGTAAAATTCCATTGTGTAGAGATACCACATTTTCTTGATCCATTCGTCAGTAGTGGAGCATCTTGGTTGTTTCCATAACTTGGCTATTGTGAATAGCGCTGCAATAAACATGGGTGTGCAGATGCCTTTGGAGAAACTTGTGTTGCATTCCTTTGGGTGTATCCCCAGGAGTGGATTTTTAAAAAATTTTTTTGGCATTATTAGGGTTTGAACTCAGGGCCTCCAGCTTGCTAGTTCAGGTGCTATAGCACTTAAGCCATGCCTCTAGCCCTTTTTGCTTTAGGTTATTTTTCAGATAAGGTCTTGCTTTTTGCCCAAAGCCAGCTTCGGACTGTGATCCTTCCTATGTACTTAATGACAGGTACCAAGTTATGGTGTACAACCGTACCAAGCTTATTGACTTAAGATGGGGTCTTGCTGACTTTTTTGCCCCAGCTGCTTCCCAAGAAGCTGGAATTACAGGTATGAGCCACTGTACCTGGCCAAGATTTAGACTTTTATACTCTATATTGCGTATCTTCTCCTTTTTAGGAGAAGACTGGACTGGTCAGTTTTAAGAGAAGGTAGCCATAAAGAGAACTCCTTCAACCCATCAAGTGGGAAAGGTGTTCGTGACCCAGGACAGTATAGGTCCCTGGGGTTTAGGTTTTATTAACGCAGTGTGCCTCCTTGGAGAAGGTAGAGCCAGAAGAGTTTCTGGTACCCAAAATGGGGGAATATGGGAATCTTTGGTAGGTGATTGAGGGAACTTTGAATTCCACGTGAAAGGTCCCATGTAATGACCACCAAGATTGGGACCAGGCTGCACTGGAGCAGGGTCAGACCTAGGTGTTTGTCTTGTGCAGTTTTCTTCGCCCTCCTGAGGTTGTCTAGGTTCCTGCCTGCCTCTTTAGGTGTGGCTCTGGAAGCAACCTGAATATGAGGCTCCATAATCAGGCAACAGATTCAGAAAGCCAAAGTCTCTTGTTAAATGACAGGGCCTAATCCTGACATTGTAGCCTGAATGGGTGGTTCTGGGATAGGTTTTATCCATCACCTCTGACAGCACAGAATTACCCAGAGCTTCTGTTCTGACACAGAAGAGATGGAGGCCCATCATGCACCTTTGTTTATCTAGCCTCATGCTCTTGGGGGCTGAGAAGGGTTTGGGGGAAGCAACAGGGAAAGATAGGAAAGAAAACTACAACATAAGTAGTTCGGTGACTCTGCCTGCCTTTTTACCCAAATAGTCTTTATTCCTTGGTAAGTATAATGGGTTTGTGATCTGCCAGCCCCTCC